CGCTTGGCGTGCTCGGTGTAAGTGACTGAGTCACGGATGACGGACTCGAGGAAGAGCTTGAGGACACCGCGGGTCTCGTCGTAGATCAAGCCTGAGATACGCTTGACGCCGCCACGGCGCGCGAGACGGCGTATGGCGGGTTTTGTGATTCCTCTGGGAAAAACGAAGGTAGAAGCACGAGAGGAAAAAAGTGTCAGTGGGGATCGCCGTGCGGTGAGCGCGATTTTGCGTAGCAGGGGCAGCAACCGAGCGTGTTGAACAAAGGGCATGAAAGAGAAGCACGCACTGGATGTTGTCACGAAGGATCTTGCGGTGACGCTTGGCGCCACCCTTTCCAAGGCCTTTGCCACCTTTACCGCGACCTGACATGCTGCCGAGAGAAGGCAAGAGTGGATGGAAAGAGGGAGACAGACAGACGTGTGTCCATATATGTCAGTTGGGCTTGTCACGGACGAGCATGAGAGGTGGGATAAGCGACTACGCGCAACATCAGGCGATCGTGAAAGTGTTTGCCAGCGACGATGTCTGTCTGGAGTGTCTGCTCACTTTCCGTATGTTTGTGTTGCTTGCTATGTGGGAGGATGGTGGCTTGTAAAGAAAATGCCAATCGTACGAAGGCGGTATGTGTAGTGTGAGGTGGTGGGCGTAAAGCAGGCTGTGATGATGTGGGTGTTATATTTAGCTGGAGGGGGGGAATGATTGCGATGAGATGAACTATGTAGTGCGTGTGCTGACGGGTTTCTTAATATTGATTGCGACTCGCGTATGCGGAACCCTGTCATGATGAGTCTGGACACGCCGATGCCAGGAGTTGAGAGCCTGGGAAAGTCAGCCCTGCGTCGAAGAGTGAGAGCTGTACATCGACGAACGCTCTCTCCGCTGCCCAGTCCTGTCGTCGCAAGGTCGCATATCTACCACTCACTTGTCCCCCACATCCTTGCCGGGGGTCATCCTACTGGTATTAGAAGCCGGGTCTATCCAAAAACTCATGAAAGTGGTGTAGATCGTCAGGCGTGGTCGATGAATAGCTGGATACCAGCAACCGGAGCTCCTCAAAGCCGTGGGCTCATGGCATGGGACAGACGAAACGAAGACAATGGGGCACGGCACGGACTTCGTCCTGCCTATATGCCAGTGCGAGCGCCCCAGCTCCGTGCCATTTCTTACGCTGTTAGCATGTACCGGTGGCCATTCCGATAAATGACTAGTATTGATCGATGATCGATGGACCTTGAGGCTACAGAATAGTTTACTAAGACTGGGCGAGTGTCTCCCATCAAAATGATCCAGGGCTCCTTGAATGCAACAGCCAAGCAAAGCTCGACTCTGCACTTGAAGCCGTGGATGTCTGTGTGGGATGAAACGCCTTTTGACTTCGAGCTCGGATGTTTGACATCCTTGCCATAAAACAAAAGGACGACTTCCTCTTCCCGCTGATCATAGCCATACCTGCCATTGTATTAGCTGGACAGACGCGTAGTAAGGATGCAGCGGGGTGGTGTGATTGGGTGCGGATAAGCAGCATTCATCCTGCTTGTGATCATCAGTCCAGGCTCAGTCACTCTGTTCATCGAAGGCTCAAAGCGTCGCTCCGGACAGCCCTTAAGGTCTATGTGGTCCTTGCGGGAGAGCTCAGTTAGCCAGGGGGTCTGATCATGCATGCATGCGCGATTTCGATGTTGAGGGAAGGAGAAGCCGCGTCGACGGCGTGAGCCACATTCTTTTGAAAAGCCTTATGCAGCAGTATGAAAAGAAACGGGACTGATAAGGACCTTCTTCCCCCTTGCTCTACGTCGCCCCGGATATGCTGAACGACGCGAAGAAGTGTGTTGTCTGGATACCACGTCGTAGCTGGGTGCTAGGGAAAGATGGGGAGAGAGAGAAGCAGTGTGGGAGAAACAGCGAAGAGCTGATGCGAAGAAAGAGCGAGAAGAGAATAGCGAAACTTTGCGCATTTCCCGGCGCACGCACCACCACCACCACCACACACCACATCTCGTGCATGTGTCGTCGCCCTCCATTGGGTCATTGATTGTCGTCGTTTCATATGGGAGAGGTCGTGTGTGGAAGCATGCCGCAAGAGCTTTGAGCAACATATCCATAGAACACCGCTTCACAAGGTCATACGCAGGCAGAATCTCTCAATCGACCAGCCGTGCTGCTCGCGGAGGCTACCGGTCGCCCAGAGAGCCTAACCTTGATGGGTCAGCCTTTTACCAGTCCCCCTCGCGACCTGCGATCATCCTCGCCGTCTCACCGTCGCGGTTCGGACGAGCAGCTCCCTGCAACGACAGCGTTGCCGTCCCAAAGCACACGGCTGTTGCTACATTCGACGTCCCCGCTCGAACGCTCTTCGGATACCCTCAAACGCCTGCGTAGGGAAGCCCTCTCTTCTATTTCCAGCGAAGCCGACGCCGACGCGGACACCGACGCGGATCCTGGCAACTCTTCCGAGACAGAAGTGTCGATTGGCATACTGGGAAGCTCGCCATCACGCAAGGGGAAAACAAACCAAGCCTTCAGCCAGTCCGCTTCTGGCTCCGGCTTGGCAGCAGGCACCGACACTGCCGTCTTTGGTCGATTGCAGCTTGCAGACAAGATGGATAGGACTAGTTCACCTATCGCTGACAATCGCCTAACTGCCATCGGCAGCAGCAGTAAAACCAGGGATGTCAACATGAACGATGGAGGGGTGGAATTGGTACAGTCGGTCACGGCCGTGCCTCCGTCACTGCAAAAGCAAATCGACGTGGTAGACCAAGCGAACGCCAAACCGCTCGCTGTTGGTGACAGATGGCACATCGTCAGTGCCAACTGGTACCGCAAATGGCGGCGCGAAGGAAAAGGAAAGGGAAAGATTGAGGAGGTAGAAAGCACCGATGGAGGATGCGACGGGCCGGGGCCTATCGACAGCTCCGATATTGCAGACGGAGCAGACTCATTACGTATGCACATCACTGAACATGCTGATTATGAGCTCTTGACCAACACTGCCTGGGAAGCTCTTGCGAGCTGGTGCGTCTCACCTTCACGGACATGGATGAGAAATTGTGCGCAAGGAATCACTGACACCGCACTGACTACAGGTACGGCTTCGTTGGGCCCACCTTCGCACGCCCAGTCATCGCGGGTATGCAAGCCAGTGCAGAGCGCATAGAGCTCCGGCCTCCGAGGTTCACTCTCGTTCCAGTTGCCGATCGCGCCACTGTTGTTAGCGAGCAACTGAACCCAACAAGCATCGTTATCTCAGTCTCTACGACCATATCTGCCTTCAAGGAGAGCGTGTGCCAGGCTCTGAACATCAACGGAAGTCCTAGCACAAATCTGCGCCTGTGGAGATTACCGGAGAACAGCGAGATTGCGGCGACTCCGTTGGTTGCGCTACCGCCAGCAAAACTCAAAGAAGCTGGCGTGGAGCTGGTTAATGAGATGCTTGGCGCGACAGCAGGTGTGCTGGAGGACCCGACGCTGGAAGCGCTACAGCTCGACGCGCCCGCGATCAGCCTAGCCGTCGAAGTGCGCAATGTCGCAGGCGAATGGCCAAGCGATGCGCAGTCAGCAGTCGCGACGACAAATGGCGTCAAGGGCTTTTTTGCGCAAAACACCGAGGACCATTGGAGCAGCGTCCAAGGGCAGTCCGCCGAGCCGATCTTAACAAGCGTCATCGGTTCCGCCACAGGTGCGCTTGCGTCCATTACCGGCCGCATGACACGCTCACAGACCGCGCATGAGCGAAGCGGACCGGAGCGGCCACGCGGCTTGGTCGGTCTGCAGAACCTCGGAAATACGTGCTTCATGAACAGCGCACTGCAGTGCATGAGCAACACCCTTGAGCTTCAGCAGTACTTCGTCTCGGGCGTGTACAAGCAAGAGCTCAACTCGGACAACCCGCTTGGCATGGGCGGCGCGCTGGCCGAGGCGTTTGGCAGCCTGCTCGAGAAGATCTGGTCGCCGAACACGCACGGCGCCATCGTCCCGCGCGAGTTCAAGTACGCCGTTTCGCGCTTTGCTCCACAGTTTGCCGGTTACGGACAGCAGGACACGCAGGAGCTGCTGGCATTCCTACTCGACGGGCTGCACGAGGACCTGAACCGCATCCTGAAAAAGCCTTACATCGAAGCGCCGGACTGGGAGGGCGGTGGAGAGAAGGAGATGGTCGAGTTCGCGCGCAAGCAGTGGGAGATCTACAAGGCTCGCAATGACAGCGTCATCGTCGATCTGTTCCAGGGACAGTATCGCAGTACGCTCGTCTGCCCCAAATGCCAAAAGGTGCGTCCGGTGCAGCACATGTCAATTGTCACAAAGGGTGGCTTCCGTTGACTTTCCTCTGCAACGCTCTCCGAGCAGGTGTCGATCAAGTTCGACCCTTTCATGTACCTCACTCTGCCTATTCCGAACCGCCGCATGTGGACTGGAGATATCAATTATGTTCCCTATGACCCATCAAAGAGGCCGGTCAAGGTGAGTGCGCATTGCCTGGTCATCCTTCCTACTCTTTTTTCTCAAAGCACGTGGCCCGACCCACTGTACCAGGTCACCTTGTCAGTGTTGCAAGACGCCTCCTTCATGACTGTTAAGGCGAAACTGGCAGAGCTATTCGCCACTGATGCTGAAAAGGTAAGAGGGCCTGGCCCGCATCGAGGCGTACTGGCTGCATCGCTGATGTCTTCCATTACGCTTCCAGCTGGTTGGTGCTGAGGTGTGGCATGGCAACATACACAAGTGGTACCACGACTGGGAGCACGTAACAGACATTCAACGCAACGACACCGCGTACTTCTGGGAGCTTCCCACCGAATTCACATATCCTCAGGTCAAAGGACAATCCCTCTTCAGCCGTACCAGCACCCAGAATCCAGAACAGTATGAAAAGCAAGCGATACCTCCGGCCGCCGATGCTTGGGCCATCCTTCCGGTGTTTTCGCAGGTTCAAGACAGCAACGATCACCGCCGAGGGTTCCGAAGCTCAACGCTCGGTGTTCCATTCTTTGTTGCTATCCCAGCGGACAAGACGAGTGACCCTGAAGCGATCAATGACATTGTGTCGCAGCATTATGTGCGTTTTGCTGAAGACCCGGACGCGTTGCAGAAAGCCTTGGTGCACAATACTGCTGCTCAGCAACACGCGCCACAGGCTGAGGGAGATGATGTGGGCGTACAGCCACTGCAGATCAGCGCTCAGCCTCCAGTCGCGGATAGCGTTGCCGAAATTCGCTTCTCCGACGACGACGCTCAAGAGCCGCAGGTTACAGAGTCGGCGCTTCCCCAAATGGAAGCTGCACCAACAGAACCCGCGGAGGCGATTGCTAGCACAGATGCAGCACAGCCGATGGAAGCGGAGATCCAGCAGTCCACCCCGCCGAGCTTTGTGCTGCGCTTTGCAGCACGCAAGATGACCGTACCACTCCCTCACGGTGTGGAGTCTTGGGACGACGACAGCCAGGCTCTCTTCGACCGAACTACGCACACGGACTCTGATTGGCCAGCGGTCTACACGGGCGGGGCGGTTGTGTGCTTGTGGAATCCAGAGGCAGCTGAGGCCTTGCTGACCAAGGCATCAAACGACGTATGGGGAGCGTACGAGGAACACGTGGACGATTCGGTGGCTCAATCCAAGGGCAAGAATGGGCCGAAGAAGAAGCTTCACATTGAAGACTGCCTGGACGAGTTTACGAAGAAAGAACAGCTCGGGAGCGACGATCTATGGTACTGTCCACAGTGCAAAGAGTTCCGACAGGCGACAAAGAAATTTGACTTGTGGAAAGTGCCGGATATTTTGGTTGTGCACCTGAAGCGATTCAGCGCCGGTCGTTATTCTCGTGACAAGCTGGATGACTTGGTCGACTTCCCTATTCAAGGGCTGGATTTGTCGCATCGCGTCGAGGGTTCAAAGGTGGTCCAAAGATTGGAAAAATTAGGCTATGAATTGCCCGTATCGACCAGCCGTGCTCAAACGCCTGAAGTCGAAGCGGAGGCAAATGACGATGCTGTAGCAGTTGACGCGCCGATCTACGATCTTTACGCCGTGGACAATCACTACGGTGGGCTTGGAGGCGGGCATTACACTGCTTATGCAAAGAATCACGCCAGCGGCAAGTGGTACTACTTTGATGATTCGAGCGTGCGCGAAGTAGGGCCAGAAGACTGCAAGGTGAGGTTTCCGATGGGACAGTGTTGGAGATTGCCTTCTGACTTGTCGATGTGGCATCTTTCATTGCAGACCTCTGCGGCGTACCTGCTCTTCTACAGGAGGCGCACGGCCAGACACATCGGTGGCAAGACGCGTCAAAAGGTCGATGGGAGTCTCAGCTCGCTTCCCGACAAAGATGCACCTGGTCCTAGCAACAGTGCTCCAGATCCCTCTCAACCTCCTGGTGGCTTCCCGGAGGCGGACGCCTCCGAGGACCCCTTTGAGGACGGGTCAAACGGCTGGAACTCTACGATGCACCATCTCCAATTCGGCGGGCAGCAGTGGATGACGGCAAGCCGGCATTCCGCGTCGCGCCAGCTTCCTGACACTTCTTCCGCAGAAGACTTGCAGTTTGATTCGAAAGGTTGGTGGCCTACCACCGTCAGCTCTTCCGGAGAGGAATCATCTGGGCACATGAGTGCGTTCGACTCGAGCGAGGAAGGGCTGTATGGCCTTTCGCCACCCAGTTTCAGCACCGACTCTCGCCGTGCCTCACTGTCTGAAATGGAGCATTCCAACGCAGCTGCCTCTTCAGTGAATCTATGGCACAGTCGTATTCAACACCAGCACCAGATTCCTTACGCGTCGACGGCTGAGTTACAAAGCGAGATGCTTGGGAATTGGCATGGTCTGGGTGGAGCCCAGGGTTTGGAGGCATGATGGAGCATTGGACGCCACACCTTCATGTACTCTTTTCCCATTGCACACTCACTAGAGCGATGGAAACATTGTCTATAGGTCACTGGTCACCAGCTCCAGTCACACTTTGTTGAATAGTAGCGAATGGGTGAATTGCGAAAGCGAACCCGACAGCAGCGCGGGCTCGCTGTGCGCATTCTCTGCATGCACCCATGTGTGATTGCCCGTGTTGAGCATTGGGAGTTGGGTCCTGAGATTGAGACTTGAGCGGCTCGACAGACCCCTTCCGAACATTGCCTGACCCTGTAAATCGCTGCCCGTTATTGCCGCCTGTAATGAGCCTTGGCGTGGAGCCCGCTCTGACCCCTGGCAGATCCTGAGCCACTGACACACTCGGCGTTCCATCTAAATTGAATTCATATCTGCCTGCGGCAAGGCAAGAAGCAACAACTCCAAAGCGGCTCCGAGTCCGGAGTGTTGGCGCTTGGCGGTTGTCACTCTGAGACAGTTCCAAATATACATAGATATTCCCAGACTCTCCCAAGTGCCCACAGCTGACCAGCACCAGCTGGGCGGTTGTCTCAGATTCAAAAGGGCAAAATCTCAAAAAACATATGCCTCGCGCGAAAAAAAGAACCAAAAATGTTCCATTCCCAACCCTTGTCCCTTTCAAAAAAAAACCCCCATTTGGATGGTCTTCGTTGTATTCATTTCCCGGTCGTCCCATACATACATACATACATACATACATACATACATACATACATACATACCACACCTTTTGCAATCTGACTTTTGCAATTCGGAGTCCGGACTTTGTGTAGTTCGTGAAGTCGGAACCTTTTGAAGACGAGCCTAGCCATGTCCGTGGGGCTGCCGGCGGGCACGTGAGTCTACGATTGTAGGTTCCGAGCACGCAAAGCCAGCGTGAACACTGCGCTCGAGCCGATCTGCGCCCACCCGAGGCTCCGAGTCAGCTTCAGCACCAACTTCTACCGCCGGAGCGCGCGGGTGCGATCGTGGCGATGATATCGTGACAATTGCAAAGAGATCACCGGAACCAGAGCACAGATACGTACTGTACATACTGTTGTAAAGGCTGGTATGGGAACACGTGATCTTGCCCTCAGGTCTGCAGCGGCATGGGCCCCGTCATCGGCACATTTGCCAGGGTCTTCCCTTATACTCGACTATGCTGTATGTATCTGTATGGTACTCAGACTTTTAAGAACCCTGCCTTCGTAGAGTGCCTCTGCACCTCTGCTGAATAGTTTCCTGTGGGCACCCGAAAATATTATGTATAAGGAGAGTATGTTTTACTGTCATTTCATTGACCGGTGCCAGAAAGCCTCTGATGGAGTTGTCAAATCTTGCGTTGTCATTTATTTGGCTTAGCTGAATCAAGAGGAGCAGTATTGGCCCGGCCTACATTCCACTATTAGTCGAACACGCAAATGCCAGCCAGCCTTTCTGTACCCTTCACCTACAGTACGGTATACTCGTGTCAGCACCGCGTCGAATTCCTTTAACTTCCACCAGGATCCAGGACTTCGAGTGGGATATCTGTGATGTCCGGCACGGAACCTCGGTTATGTATATTTCGGGTGCTATGGTGTTCTTGTGATGTTCTGATTGATGATATTGGCATGGATAACGTCCGCGGAAACCAGACATCCTTGAACCAAACTTCATCTTGACAAAATCTGCAATCTGTACCGCCCATCAGGGTATAGTATTGTTGTACGCGATTGACTTGGGACTGGAGCTGGACGCGATTCGCGAGGTGAGTGGCCGATTGGACACATCAACGAGAGTCCAGCAGCCATGTCACGCGGAGAACGAGCTCAGGACGACCCCAGAGGAGACGACTCCTCGACCTCTAGAGTTGAAGATCCCTGGACCTCTGGGGTCGTCAGAGCCTATTCATCGTCAGGGTCTTCCATGAGTGACGCACCCACGCTCAGTCGGAACCCAATGACCAACGCACCGCTTCCCGGCATTGCATCTCTTCTACCACAAGCGTCACAAGATGAAGACACCCCGGGCCCATCCTCCGCGTCGCGGCAAACGACAAGTACCAATATCAAGTACCCACATCAACATTCAATGTACTTCTCCAGCACTTCGCTCGGGTATGGCCCTTCCTCTGTGACGCCAGTCGCGTCTAGTTCCAGAGCTGAGTTGGAAGAGCTCTCATCTCTTCGACCGCAGACCGTCGGTGAGGAGATACGATCCCTTCATTCTCATGCAAACATCATGTTAACTAGCTGTGTTGGCTGACTCTCTGATACCTGTCAGGCTGGGGGACAGCGTCATCAACGCGCTATATGGCACCGCATTCAATGCCTCAAGGATTTGCCCCTGCTATGGCGCAAAACGAGCCACTACCAGGTCTCCAAACACCCCTCATGCCACCCGAGGGGGATCCGAGGTGAGAGCCGCAAACATAGATAACCTATCTCGGGACGAAAAGCACTGATCCATGTCGTACTATGCAGGACATTCCATTTGATTATCCGCCAACAACCTGTGCAGGGGCGCATGTGCGGTTTCGGCAGCAAAGACCGACGACCTCTCGATCCCGTACCCATCGTGCAACTTTGTGCAAGCGGCCCTTATGGTCGCGACGAGGAGTGAGGAAATTTTGCACGGTACCAAGGAACAGACTTTGCTGATTCTTTTGCTTTCTACGCTCAGAGCGGAGGCCGGTCCTCACCTCCTCATGCAGGTTGCGCTGCTTCATCAAGATCCCGCATATGAAGCCACACTAGTCAAGAACTCCAGTGATGCTGAGTTCCCATGGCGGCGTGCGCTCGAGGGCAAACTCGTCTCCAGCGGCCACGTCGTTCGCGATCTGGATGGGCAAAAAGCATGCTTCTTTCCCTTTCCTGATCTCAGCGTACGCCTTGAAGGGCGTTTTCGCCTACGGTTCACGCTGGTTCGCCTTGGGCCGGGATTCGCCGGCCCGGCAGGAGGAGCTGTCGCTGTTGCTGATTCGGAACCGTTTCAAGTGTACAGCGTGAGTCAGAACCCGTGTCAACCCGTACTCAGTGCACAACCTCATGCTAATACATGGTCATTGCGCCAAATGCAGCCGCGCGAATTTCCTGGGATGCTCGAGTCCACGGAGCTCGCCAAGACTTTGGCGCGAGCAGGAGTCCTCATTACGACCAGAAGCAAAGGCCGGGAGCAATAGGCTTCCCGAGCGCGATACAACATTTAGCAGCAGAAATAATAGCACAGGAGAGCGACCACAGCCGAGCTGGATCTTCGGCCTTTAGGGCATGAGAGCACCGTGACGAATCGCATTCATTTTGTCAGCAAGCAATAACAAGACCCGAAGCCATCTCACTGCGTCATTCGTAAGGCCGCATCCGATATCAAGCTACCTTTAATAAAACGAGCGATAGACAAGTGAATTTTCGTGCGATGCACATTAGACAGGTAAAATTGTACCGAAGAACAAAGATTGATATATAATGGCAAAATACAAAGTCGGCTATGTAAACATGTTGCTGACAATTTGCGGCATCTTAGATATTGGGTATCAAGACTTTTAGCATAGAAAACGGAGGTGGCGCAAGCAGTGTATGCGGATGCGATGCAGGTTGCGATGCGAGGAAGGTCGAGGGCAGTCAGGATGCGTCCCGAATAAGGACGACAGCGGAGAAAGGGTGTGGTGTTCGGGCGGCGTGAGCAATCTAAGTTGATGGAACGGTACCGCCAAAGAAATGGGCGCCTTGTTGTTCGAGATGCAGGGTTAGTTCGGTAGGCCCTGTGGCGAGTCGAGTCAGACTCGGGCCTTATGAGATGACACGATGCAACAAAACCAAGCTGCTCACCTGGGGCAGAATACTCGGAGCTAAGAACGACTTCGAAAGTATTAGTGGTAGCTTGTACGAGTGGCGTTGATCCTGTTGTGAAGCCCGTGGTAGCGCTGGTGCAGTTTAAACAAGGTCAGGTCGTGCTCGCGTGAAGGAAGTAGCGCAAGCGAGGATTACTCACTTTGGAAGGCGCATCAGCGTGGCTCGGAGGTGGAAGCGACCACGAGCTCGGATGCTGATTTCCGGGAATATAAGGTATGTCCTGGGGTATCCTGAAGGATCTGAGAATTCTTGTGGATTGGCAACGAGCGTGCCGTACATCATGCGCACGGGACTCGTCGGCAGTCTGCTGGTTGATGCCGTCGGGGCCCGCTGAGCGCCGGTAGACGATACACGCGCATTTGACGACTCTATTGGTGACAGTACATCAGCCATTTGACCCTCTTCTGTTGCAAGGGACACCTGGCATATCAAAAACGGCATTTCATCCAGGCTGGAGAGACATAAAGGTATGTGTCAGCAATGCGACAAGACTGCTGGCCAAAATGTATAGACTGACGCAGAAGTTTCTTTTCCTTCGCGATCGGTCACCACAAGTTCAAATATTAGCGGTGGTGCAATAGGTAGCCTTGTGAGCATGTTTGTGCCGAATGCGCTACCCGTCGTTGGTTCTTGGGCGACTCGGAGAACGTACACTCTGCCATGCAACCGCACTAAGTCAACAAACGTTCGGAGACAAATTGGAAAATGAAATCACCTATTGTCGAAATTGGATGCAGCAGGGGGTCGAGGCGTAGTGCTAGCACGAGGATGAGGGGAAGGCTCAGTGTTTGAAACAGATGTGATCTCAAGGCTGGATATTGAGGAAGCCGGCTGTGTTACGGGGCGCAGCATGGGTGGGCCGGGGACTCCATTGTGGATCAGCCCAGCTATGGGAACAGTGGCGATGCTCGATGAAGATGGTGGTGGCGGCAGATCTTGGAAACTGCTCGAACGTCTGCTAGGCCTCCCTGTAGATATTAAAGGGCTCCGTGAATAGGGGCGATGGGACGCTATCAGTCCACGTGATCCGGGCTGTGAGGTTGGATAAGGTGGTATCGGCTCTTGTGATAGGTGTCTGCTGTTTGGCTGTCCCGGCAGCCTGCATTGCGCGGACTGTGAACGTCGAGAGCTTCTGCTTCCACTACCACCGACAACAAAGGGAGTAGGCACCATGGCTTTGGAGGGTAAGACAGACGAAGAGGCCCAGGGTGGCCCTCCTAACCTAGAGCCACGACCTGGGTGATGTGCTGGGGATCGTCCCTGCCCTGCAGATGGAGCAGGAGGCGGACCTGCGGGCAATGAGAAGCGGCGGCGAGAGGGGGGAGGAGTAGTGACCATGCGGCGTGAATCACTGGCGCTGCTTTCGGCCGCATGGTCATCTGAACCTTGTCGCTTGTCCCCTGCAGACGCAACCTCTGAGCATGCAGGCATACTTCCTGTCGGTTTACGCCGGGTTCGTCGACCACTTCCTTGCGACTCATTGGCATCGTTATTCTCCATGATGCAACCCTTGCAACGCGCAACGCTGCTTGCTTGATGAAGGGCCGGCCGGGGACGTCGCAATTATGCGCGCGAACCAAATTGGCCCCGATAGCTTTTTGAGCGCAGCAGCCGGCCTCTTAACGGGTACGCAGAACGAGATTTGACAGGAGACAACTGGCAACTAATCAGACATCACACCCGACGCAGCAATGAACTCGATGTACTTGTTGCTGGCGGTCTGAACGTCGGTTCGGTTTTCCACCCCGATACCGAGTGCTCTTTGCGGACTTGTCTTTAGGCACAAGACGATGTTAGATGAGTAATGATGACGAAAGATAGCCGATGTATGCGCGTACGACTGTGTCCAAGTCGATTGTTTGCAGCAGGTAAAAGGGCAGCAGTGCAAGGCGCAGAATATTCATGTTACATTTGCCGACACTTTGTTTACCTTGAGAGTATATATGAACCACGACACAACATGAGAATAGAGAGGCGGAGTTTGAGTGATTGCGGCGTGCCGACGGCCCGAAGACACCCTCGTCACTTTTTGTGTGTGCTGATCGGAGAATCGAAAGAGCTGCGCGTCTACTACCACCTGCATGTAGCAGCCGCCTGTTACTACTTAATCGCCGAAGGGCTCCAAACAGATGGGTCTGCAAAATGGCTGCGGGTGGGTGAAAAGTGGCAGCTTGCCGAGGATTCACAGCGGGCCAAGGGCTTGGCACGGTTGGGTCTCGTTTAGCATCTCTGTGCATGATTGAGAGGAAAATATTATACATATAGGGCCAGAAAGTCGCAAGATTGGGTCCCACTCAGCATAACGCCGCGAGGCTAGAGCCTGTACCGTTGCATTGGATACATGTCACGCACTGACGTTTTCGCAGGCGTCGTATGGAACACACATCTGCATATTTCACTGGCTT